TAACTTTATACACAAGTGCCAAAATACTATAATTATATATAAACTGTTTTTCTTGTTTCAGCGTAAAGCCACACAATAAGCTGTCTGCACTCTGTCATTCGCGGGTATCGAACTTTGGATTTAAGCGTTATAAGCTGCAAACTTACCGTTGACCCACCAGGGAATTATATATATATATAGTGACAAAGCATAATCTAAAGCTTATAAAGTACATCAAATATTTCATTATTATTCTTCATTATACACGTATCTATCTATCTATGAACATATGATTTTTAGGTAGTATTTGGAATAGACAAAGATAAATTGGCAATTATATAATAAACGGTGCTTATACAGAGTATAATATTTAAAGATAAACCGACGAGGTTGAGAAATAATGCAAGACTACACACTGCAATAAGGCCCTTGATATGTGTATAGCACTTGAAAACGTTTTTTTTTTTTTTTAGCAACTGCAAAATTAATTAATTACATACAATCTTAGCCTGAGCCAACAATATTTGAGAATGTTTGTTCAACGTTCTCTGTAAATATGAAAGTAAGTAGTTTTGCCAGTATTTGTCGCTGTTGCAGCAAATCTTTTTATTATTATAATTATAGATAAAGTGTTTTATGGATGCTTCTTATCTCCTTTCTATTGCTAATCTGGTAATTACGAAACCCAGGAAGTGGAATAAACTCTCACTATTGGCTAAACGGGAAAGCAATACTTTATACTGAAACATAGTAGGCTGAGGCAGAGATTAAAGGCGTGTTTGATTAATTACTTAGGCAGTGAAGAAGAGTATAACTATTGGTTAAACAAAGAGAACAGAAAACATATTATTGGCTAGTTACATCTGGGATTTGTTGTTAAATGTAGAGAAGTTTATTTATTGATAGTATTAAGTGCGGTAAAGTTTAGCCCTAGCTAAACCAAAGCAAAAAACGTACACAAGTTACAGTGTTAATTTTCCTCTTTATCGAATATTGGCTGTACTAAATACAGGCAACTAATGTTAAGCCTAAAACAAGTGGCGTTACAAATTCCGATGTCTGCAGTTAAAATGATTTCGTATTATTCTAGGTATCCTGTATTTAACGATATGCTGTTGCAATAAAGATAATAATTACACCGCAAATGTATTTTTAATACTAGATAAGGATTAAACCCATGTTCTCTATCCATGTTTTATTTTAATTTACAAACTGATAGTCAAGGTTTATATCCATAATTCGTCTTCATGAATCGCATCTCTCTCTAAAAAGCCCCCCAGTGGCACAGCGGTATGTCTGCGGACTTACAACGCTAGAATCCGGGTTTCGATACCCGTGGTGGGCAGAGCACAGATAGCCCTTGTGTAGCTTTGTGCATAATTAAAAACAAACAAACAAACAAACTCTCTAAAAGTTGAAAATGAGCTTCAAATTGATATCCACCCACCGTATACATCCTGCTTTGATCGACTGTTTTGTTACCATTTGCAGCAGGAAATGTTTTTATATTTTCAACAACGAGGGAAACAAATGTGTTGCTGCACATTGTATTGCTTACTGTTTAGGAAAACTACGCCATCATCACATGAACATATGCATATTTACATAACTTAAAGACGTTTAGTAATATAATATACTGTCCTTACTTATTCTTTCTCTCTCTATTCTCGCCATTAAACAAAATCTATGCGGCGTTCACATCATACAAAAAGCAACAATTCATTTTCATACACTCATAATTTAAAAAGATACATTTACAAGCAAGAATCAAAATTATCACTGACACTCAGTAAATTCAAATATAAATCTGCTACATCATTACAGCTAGTTAACCCAATGATATTGTTTCTAAATCTTTGTTAATCTGTATTCTCATTTTCAAATGTATTACTCATCTGAGGACCGGATCTGTCGATTCACGACAGACCTCCTGTTTGTTTTTTTTATTAGACAAAAAAAAAAACTATTGAAATATATTACACGAAACGTTCTAAGGAATATGTAGTTTATATGTAAAAAAAGTGGACCCGACATGACCAGGTGGTTAGGGCCCCGGCATGGCCCGGTGGTTAGGGCGCTCGACTCGTAATCTGAGGGTCGCGGGTTCGAATCCCCGTTACACCAAACATGCCAACCTCCGCCTTTGCCTGGTCCCAAGTCCAGGATGAGAAAGGGGGAAGGTTGGGCGTGGGGCTAGCAACTCCACCCCGTAAAAACCAACCTGCTACAAGTAACTGCAACAACACGGCCCTATGCCCCACTGGGAGTTTACAGGAATAAAAAAAAATGTAAAAAAGTAGTTTAATTATACTTAGTATGTTTGTGACTTTTTAACTTCCGAATTTTATTAAAGTTTATTGAAAAAGTTATTTTTTACTTTTAAATACACCATTCTAGCTTAAATTTCTTATTATTTTATGTTGTCTGCTTAAACCCCGAAAAAAGTGTCTAATAGAGTTTTTTTTTTTTCAATAAAACTACAGATTTTAGTATGATTTTATTCGGACGTGACCTGATTGTGCGGTAGAGCTCTGTATTTCGGAGCTGATGAGTCATATTAGGATCTGTGCGGTACCACAAAATTGTCCCTGCGTTTTAAGTGAGTGCGTTATAAGAGACAATCAATAAAATAGCTGTTGGTTTGTTTCGTTCCCCTTCTGGTCAATAACTCAAAATTAGAAACGGCGGCAGACCTTAGTAGCCTTATAAAAACTTTGAAATGTGAATATAACTACTGATTGTATTCCAATAATACAATACCAAATTTATGGAAATTTCATATGAACATTGGTCTAGAAACAAATTTAAAACTGTATTTAAAATATGAAACATATACGTAAAAATAGAATCTGTTTATTTATTATTGATCAGAAAGTTATATTTCATATACCCGACCAATTTTGACTAGTTTTATATTCATTAACTTAGACGACCCCCAGTGGCACAGCGGTATGTCTGCTGACTTACTGCGCTAGAAACCGGGTTTCGATACTCGTGGTGGGCAGAGCACAGATAGCCCATTGTGTAGCTTTTTGCTTAATTACAAACAATTAACTTATTTATTTTTATTATTTTCAATTAGTACGTATTGTTCATTTTTTTTCCACGCTGAAACAGTTACGTAGCTGGATAAAAATCACGTAAATTTTGAGTGATCGATAATGATATACGATCAAACGTCAGTGATAAATATCCTTACCTGAGTTATTGTTGTAGTTGTCGAAAGGAATGGTAAAACACAAATATAATATCAGCAATAAGTTCCAGGTCTATAATAGCTTGAGAATTATTTCTAAGCATGCTGTGTTCACTTTTCAAGTAATCTTTACAATACTAGTTCTTGAGAACTTGTAAGAGTAAAACACTTCAACTATAAGCGACTGGTACATGCTTTGCGTCTTTTAAAAACTGATAAATCCTCCTTTTTTATTGGTTGTTAGCTGGAAGGAGTGTCTTTTTTTTTCAAACCTGAAATAGGAGATACAGGTATTCAAATTCATCCAATCAAATCATAGAAGCTTGAGAATTATATTACTATCATTATAACACTTTATAATTTATTGTTAAGCCATAAAGAGAATAAGAAAAAGAAATTAAAAATGTATAACATGCTGTTTATTTCCACTATAAGCGATACAAAAAATGTTCAAACGTTTTCACGTTCTAAAATTAACTAGACAAAAATTATAAAATATACTGACATTATTTTCTACTCTGTTTTCTGGCTCAAAATTATTGAAACAGATGAGATTTGTGTTTTTCTTAATTAGATCTCAATATTTATAGGCAAAATTGGCACTCGAAATCACGTAAGCTATATTTGTGACGTGCTCTGTCATCATGACGACTAGTTGTCCAGTTAATGGATTTCACAGTCTTTGGAAAATTACGTATCTGTTATAAATTGATATTTAGGTATCTTCAACTTGCATGGCACTTATGGGCTAAACAGCTTTGGTCAGGAATCCCTGAGGCTCAGGCAAAGGCATCCTTAATTTAGAACTGCAGATTAATCTATTAGCTGCGGTACAGTTATAATGCCTCTACAGCCGAAAATGCGAATCGTATTCAACTGCATATCGCGACTCGAAACTTAGACCTCTTGAGCTGCAGCAAGGCGTACTAATTACAAGGACACACCAGCCCTTCACGAATCACAAAGTATAATTAGTGAGTTCAGGCAAGACAGGTTAACCATATCCGAATTACGGGTTCACAATACGGGTTCACGAAGAAGCAAATATAATATGTATGAATCATAAAGGTGTGAAAAGGTGTGAAAGGAGTAAAATCCGACCGAGAAAAATTTTCCCTTCGAAGGAGTAGTTTGTCAAACATGGTTCTTGTAAAGTAAGTCGTTTCTTGAAAGCAGCGAGTCGTCTTAAAACATGAGGAGGTGTCAGTTAACCGTTTGGAGACTGCAGTGACCTGAATTACATACATTGAATAGACAGATTTATCTTTGACCTGATTAGCGCAAAAAAAATGGAATAATTAATTTGCATTAAAATAGCCTATGTAAACTACAGACTAAGAACCATTCACTCAGTTGAGAAGCACTGATCAAAACGAGTAATGTTAACAATCTTCTTAAAAAAAAACAACTCAGGATTTGACTTAAATGACAGTAAACTAGCATAAGTACCATTGCCAATAACTGCATCAAAAATATAAAACAGAATAACATATGATATGCTAAAGTTAGCGTTAAGATCAGCCACTTCAAGTTAAAGAGAAACCTTTAGAGTAGACGGCCATTAAGAGATCATAAGTTCGTATAAACGCCCATATTCTTTTTTCAATTCGTTAAATCATTCGGTATGTTCAATGGTCTTACTAAATTAAAATGCAAATTTCTTTATTATGATTTCAATATACATCAAACTACAACTATAATGAATACAACATAAAATAAATATATTTATCAAACTACAAATAGAATAAATAATAATAAATAATGACTTTTTTTGCTATTGAATTTGTTGTATAATTGATAATACTCATTCACCCTGATTCTGGTTTTTTTTTTGTCTTTTTTCGAACTGGGGTGAGTAAGGTGTTGTGAAAAACTTATAGGGGTGAATGATATTGGAAAAGGTTGAGAAGAACTGGACTAGAGTATAAATTTAAATGATAAGTAGTTAACAGTAACTTAGCTATGACTAGGTACTACTTTTATTAAGCAATGCCAATGACGTCCCTGAATTTAGTTTTGTGCAAAACAGTGTCAATTTCCTAGTCATGTGACTTGATGCTTAAATGTATAGTGTTAGAGTCCTTGCTCATAAGTGTTCATTTGGTAATGTAGCTCAATTCTCCATCAGAGTTGCTATACACTGCTGGAGGTGAATAACGTTGCTGCCAAGCGTCTTCCATCACATTTGTCCATTCGAATGTGGCGTTGTGCCGACCTCCAGTCTCTTCTGCATCATTCTTTATTGTCGGGAAGAATTCCACCTTAGAACGCTAGAACTTAATTAGAAGATGAACACGCTGCCACCGCCTCTTCAATTATGAAAACTTAAAAAAATCAGAACAGAACTTGAACTTTGATCGTTGAATATGAGGGAGAACAAAAATTTGCTTTGTTTTAGCATTTAATAGCCGAAAAAAAGTAAAAAAACACGAGTACATTGCTTCGAAGTAATGGAATCTTTTTGATTAAATTATATTTAACACTGTAGCTAGGTACTTCATTTGTCGATGATTTGTATAACTATAATACACCATTTTAGAAAAACGTTGAGCCATGTATTTTTCAGGCCGAGAGTTACGACACAAAACAAACACTCAACTAATTTGAGGCATAATTCATGCTAACAAGACCCAGTCTTCTGTAAACCATGTTAGTGTTAGCTCCCCCCTGTATCTGAGCTCTGGGATGTCTAATTTAATTGAAAGCACACACACCACACACAGTTAATGTGTATATATGGTAAAACTAATACTTCCTATAAATGATTTATTAAACAACCTCATGATTTGCGTTGTCACCACAATATTCATAATGTTTACATTCCACTTAGGATTAGTGAAGTACGACCGTAAATCCATAGTTTTCCGATAAGGAAAAAGGAAAACACATAAGTATAAATATCGTACCGTGACCTCTCCACCAACGTCCTTACAACTGAATTTATGAATTCGTTTATACAAAGTTACGTTTGTGTTTGTGATCGACGCTTGAAAATTGAAATGCTATTTAATTCACCCTGTTTCAAATTGAGCCCATTATTGTTTTTAGTACACTGTTAATGATAGAAAACACCAGATATCAGTTATATTTTCGTTACTTAATAAAAAAAACAAGCTTGTTTCATTTTGATCTTTTGCTTTATTGGGTATTCAGTCCGCCCCTGCAATGAATCATTCAACAACACTGAAAATTCGAATGCCTACACCAAAAATATATTTATGAACAACTGTAGTAAGTTTCAACAATTATTTCAACACCCAGTCTGAGAGTCAGTGAGACCGAATCCGGGGAACTGGGTTGTTTACAGAGGGAGTGTCACGGTTTCCGGTATTCGAGTTAGAAGAAAAACAATATACTTCGATAAAGGGCCGGATCTGTTAACTTAAAACACACATACACACTTTACTGCCAAAAGAACTTATCTCTTATTAATGTTCGGGCACGAAAACGTGGTGTTTATGGGGTTGGCCAGATTGTGCTTCTCTTGCACAAAATAGTGTTCATGTTCAGACAGGTTACCGCACTTAGCCACCTTTTAGCACAAATAAGCTTCGTTGAACTTTTCTCGGTCAACTCTTTCGACAGAACTCGAGAAAATGACTTTACAGAATTCAGAAATTATGTCTTGTATTTTTCCAACATATGCTGCGACCACCATGTTTTGTATGGGACTTTGGATTCGGGAGTGGGTTTTACTCCCTCATAGTCTGGAAACTAGTATGAATTCGGCCACGCTGGAATATAATTTAGATTTCAGATATGACAAAAAGCTCAAATCTCTATTCAGAATAATGAAAAAAAAAGAGAACTGGAAAGGTTTTTTTAGGAATAAATCCATCAAATATGTCTCCCTAGCTTGCAAACTGAGTGTTAACTCCTCAAAAACAAACAGTATTCTTAAATTCTACTGACTAGATATTATTTTTAATATTATTCTTTAATTAAATATATGAATTTAAGCAGCCAACTTGAGAAAGCCCTGCTCATTTGAAGCTTAATTATAATGTGCGTATTCGATCGGAAGGAATTTGTATTTATAGCAATACCACGAAGATTATTTTAACACTTTCCCTAATTTTGAGCTACTCACCAAAAAGAAAGCAGCCACTCGGCGTCACCATACCCCCCTCACCTCCATCCTCTTCTACACGATAAGGGATTGAATGTCACTCTTACAAAGCTAAGTGGAATATTTACTAATTTAGGGGTATCACACAAGTTCGAAACACATTCGCCAGTTTAGAAATCCTCATCTCTATCACGCAGGTCCAATCCTCGCTCTCCACTAGGAGGAAAGTATTTAGCCCCTCGAAAAAACTATTTCTAGCTATAAGTTTTAATAATGATAAAGTAAATAACACTAACTACGGAAGAGAGTACACGTTGGAAAGTTAAGCTCTTATAGATTTTTGAATAGTATTTAATATTAATATTATCATTTGTAGTAATTTGGGTTAAATAACGAAAGAATAGCAACAGCTAGTAAGATTGATAAATAGAAATAGTAGGGTTAACATTTTAAATTAGAGATTATTGGTGTAACCTGTACTGCAGGGTTAGAATAGGCTTAAGACATGTTAACGGAACTTTAGACGTAGCTATAATTCAACATACTGGTAAATCGTAAAACAGGTTAAATACATTGTTTTATTAAACAAACACAATTTAAAGACTAGCTAATTGTTTCTTTGTGTTTTAAGGATTAACTTCTTTATTTGACTTTAGATGCATTAGTTTATCTTCAGCTTATAGGTAAGTTATAAATCAGGCAAATACATTGTGTTATTAGTATTACGTAAACATCAAATAAAGTAAAGAGTAGTTATTTGCCACATCTATATATAATTAAAGATAAACTTAACTACTTTAGTGTAAACATAAAGCAGTGAGAAAAACTGTAATATATTTGATTCTCAAACGTTAGGCTTAACATTGTTGGCAGTATGTTACTGATATTTAGTCTTGAGTATTTATTTCCAGGCTACAAATACAATGGTTAAGACTAGTGTAGGAGTTAAACGTTTACAGTTCGTTAATTAAGTGTGATTTGTACATTGAGTGGGTTATATTTGTGAACTCGGGACTGGTATGTACTTTTAATGAAGTTAGGACCAGAGAAGATGT